AAGACTGATTAGGTTTGTACTTGTCATAAGAGGGTAGATTACCAAAAATGAACGTGATGTTTTCAATTCACGTGATTACTTTTGCAMTGTGGATGTTTCTGGTGATCGGATTTCAGTCTTTGATACTGGGAGTGGAATGGACAGTAGTGAGAAAAATTCAATTGATAAATGGTGAGATTTTTTCTTCATTTCATTCAAATGCTCACAAAACATAGAAGATATTGGTAATCCATATGATTACTAGGTACGACTAATGGGTTATGATTATGAACTGATAAATTGCTCTATAGAAAATATAGCTTGATATATTTAATATATTGGGATTGATATTGCAATCAAGTGTTGTTTGCTAAATTTGATACTGCAGGTTTGATTTGTTGGTGTTAAGTTGAACGTTCTTCACGTTTGTTTTAAATTTGTGCAGGGGGGAAGTAGGGGCCTCATTACATAGATCTCAAAAACCCGTGGTATTGCCAAAGAGTAAKGTGCTTTGTCGGTAGGAACTGCTAATACATTGTCAGTTGTATGTATACGTCTGTTTTATTATTGTTTTATGAATGTACACTCTTGCTGGTTGCAGATTTGGATGCTGGTTTTAGCCCAACGCCCTCCAAAGTGAGCTAAACCCTATCCTAGATTATTTACAGTATTTAGTTCATTATCATCTGATCACAGAACATGCTTTTSACAGACCGACCCTGCGGCCCAAAATCCTTTCTCAGTGGCTCTAAGAAATTTTGATGAAGAAGATTGGGTTTTGGGTGAAGATGACCCTATTCTCATTGTTGGATCCATGGATAAAAAAGCTCTTGGAATATTGSGTGATGGTATGTATTAGATTATTGTGGAAGATAAAGAAACTTTTTCTGGATAAAAAGACTTGGATTTTTGCCTCGGATTTTATGCAGGTGATTTCTTTTCTTTTCTTTTGACTAGTTCTGAATAGTTATTGCTAGTTCTGTATCACAGAGCTTTGTTTTAGGCCTATAAATCGCCCWGAGAAAGAGGGATACACGCTTTGAATCATCGATGGAATTTCAACACTGGAACTTCAGAGTTCTTTATCTTTACCCATCAGTATCATTGACTCTGGAAAGGTCAATCACTTAACTATTACCATCTTTTTTTCTTTTTTCTTTTTTAAATTCTCCTCTTCTACATACAACTAATGATTTCAATCTGATAAATGTTTTCGTACAGTGCAAACATGTGGATGCGGAAGAATGGACTAGAAAACTTGAGCAGCAGCAYGAAAAGGCACCGTCAGAAAGTTGATTTGCTGGATGAGAGAGAGATTGCAGAGAATTGAAGGTCGATGGGGTAGGAACGTTTCGTAATCTAGTATAAACTGTAGAGTCAGGTTAAGTAAGAGTTTGATGTCAACTGRCTATGTGTGTAAAGATATAGATCGAGCAATAAGCACCTATATGGTCTTAAGTTAAATAAGAGTTTGATTGTTGCCCCAAAACTAATTACGTGTCTTTTYTTCAAGCTTATTACAGATAGTAACGTTTTATCTATCAATATGTTACAGGAGTTACCTGTTGGTGATTCTGTGCGTGCCGGTCGAGCTCCCCTGCGACAGATTGTTGTAGTTGTCCTACCTGCATGCTTCACATCTTCAGCACCGTCAAAGAAGTTGGACCAGAAATGGTCATGGTAGTAAAATGGATGAGGAAGAAATGGTCATGGTASTAAAATTGGTAGACACAAATATGAAATCGAGCGATAAGAATGTCAAACCCGTGTGTTCACAGCGCTTGTTTCCGACATCCCGTAAAGGGATCAGTGGTCTTTACATCTTTGCACTTGGGTCCAAGTTTCCGAACTTTATCAAGAAAGCTGGCACTTACAACTTTTATTTCTCTATTGTAAGTAACTTTCTACGCCCTTCTTTTCTGTATCTGAACATATATATTTTAAGGATTGTTAGATGAATTTAAACTTGCGTAGTTCCACCTCGCAAATTAATGTTTTCAAGTAATCATATAACTAATTGGCGAAGCAATTTACCTTCAGGGAAACTCGATTAAGTGCAAAAAAACGGTGGTAGTTAGACCTTCTTCAAAGGCAGCTAGGTGGAAACTTTGACGATAATCTGGAGTCCCTGCCGTTCAATGTTATGTAAGACTCATAAACTCATCAGACACAGC